CCTTACCTCTGTCGGGCTTCTTGGGTTCTTTACCTCTGTAGGGCTTCTCTGTCTTGGGTTTCTTGGGTTCTTCCTTAGGTTGAGGCTTCTTTGGGATTTTCTTAGGTTCTTCCTTAGGTTTAGACTTTTCTTTTTCCCATTCTTCGAGCTTTTTTCTCCAGTACTCTGTTTTTTCCTTGTCACCCTTGACAGTTTGCTGGTGTCTTTTAATCTCAGCTTCCTTACGCTCAAACTCAGCTTTTCTCTGACGTTCGGCAGCTTCTTCTGCAAGCCTCCTACGGTCTTCTTCCTCCTTCTTCCTAGCTTCTTCTTTCCTACGTTCTTCTTCCTCTGCTTCTAGCTCTTCCTCGGGCTCATTAGGATCGAAACCTAGTTTTTCCATAATACCCTTCAGCTTATCTATTTTTCCCGAGTAGTCATTCCTTCTAACTTCAGCCTTAGCTATTCTTCTGAGTATACGTACAACTAATGTTTTTACCTCTTCCTTGAGAGTACCATGGGTCGCGTTTAGATAGGCCTCGGTTTCTGAATTCTTCCAGGTCTTCATTCTTCTTAGCTGACTGACGTATTCAATTTCTCTTTTAATATCCTCTTTCTCTTCCGATTGCTCGGGTCCCGTTATCTTCCTTCGGAGAATGTCTATTTCAGAGTCCATATCTTCAGGTTTCATTTCCCTATAGTCAGGGTATAATCTGTTCAGCTCATCTAGGTCCTCGGTTCCTAGGTCTCCTTCCCAGATCTCAGAGTATTCATTATTGTATTCATCAAGAATGGTACTTACCCTATCCATCCATGCTGCCTTGAATTCTACACTTTCAGCCATTACTATACTTTACTTGCTGTAATTGTTGTACACAAGTAGGGCAGCTGCTACAGCTAATACCCATAAGTGTGACGCTAACCAGGCAATTCCTTTGGCTCCCCATGATAGCGCCGTTGCGATGGTGTTCAGGATTGGAACCAGGATTGGCCCTGCTTTCTTCGCTAAATTTGCTAATGCTTTTGCTACTTTACCAGTGACCTTTGCTGTGCTTACAATTGCTCCCCTAGCATGGATTAGTAAGGCTGTAATTAAACTGTTGACACTGCTACCCCCACAAGTCCCACCTTTTCCTTTCCTACCCAGTCTATAAATCTGCGTAATCTAGAAATGTCTTTCAACTGTTCCTCTCTTGCTTCCTCTACAGTTCTCTGCTCTAGTGTCCTATCCCTAGCTTCCTTCAAACTGTCAATTCTTTCTATAAGGGAATTATACTCAGTTGTACCTTCCACTGAGGTGGCGCGTTCCACTGTTTCACCAATGGCTTCATTAAAGTAGTCAGCCTGGATTTGCAACGCTCCATTGGGACCTGTTCTGCCTTCTATGCTCGATCCCTCAGGTGGGTTAAGAACACCTCTCAGTTCATTGTTTTCCTGCATTGTGAGACCTGGAAGATCTCCTAGTTTTGCACCTATGTCTATTAACTCAATGTTCTCACGGTCAGCGAATTCCTCATCACTGGTATCAAATTGGGGCTCTTCCTTGGTGTCCTCATAAACCGATTCTTCACTTGCAATTCTAGCGTCAGGATCCATAGGGGTCTGCTTGATTTTCTTCATAAGTTCCTTATATTCTCTCAGAGCAAGTGAGTCCTTTGAGTACACTGGAATCTTTGTCTTACCACGTTTCATTATCTGGGTACCACCTCTGTCAATACCTTGTTCACTTCTAAATACTAACACTTCTGTGCCATCATTAAGTGTTCTGACAGATGATCGTTTTATGAGTTCCCTGACGTATCTATTCTTAGGGTCCAGCAGTAATTTCTCCTTACCCTTGATAACTCTTGCGACAGCTTGAACACGCTCTACCTGGTTTTCAAAGTCTCTTTTCTTACTTGCTGTGAGTCGGTCTTCTGAGAACTTTTTCAGTTTACTCAGACGGATCTCTATATCATCCCATTTAGTGTCAAATGATTCATCAAATGCATCTAGAACATCTGGAAGTAAATTGTTTGGGTCTTCCACGAAGTCTACTCCTGGGACGGTTGTGCTTCCTGATGGACCTGAAATGTTCACTGTACCATTATTTCCTTCGGTGAAAGTTGTTTCTTCTATTGCACGTTTCTCCATGAGATTCCTTACATAGTCTAGTTCACTTTTAAGATCAGTTATTACTAAAGGGTCATCACCATACATAGCCTCTCCCTTCACCTTTGTATCTAACCTACTAAGAGCTGTTGTTAGGTCATCATAATTGAGGTCGTCATATTGAGGATACGTCTTCTCCATCTCCTCCAACTCAATGTCATCGTAGTCCTTGAAGTCCTCCATAATACTTTAACTTATGTTAGGGACTTGATGTCTCCAGCTGGTATCCAACTGTTAAATTTGTCATTATAACCTAACCACTTAATGAGAGCCATCTTTTTACCCTTCGCTGTTCTTCTCCTTAATACTTTCTCTATTCTAAAATCAGGTTCTCTCCCTTCAGCGCTATACAGTTCTTGTTCATAGAATCTACCAATTATTGGTTCATCAGCACTGTCTTTTATTGTGTACGTGTTTGGATGACCGTGATACACTTCCGTCACAGTGAACAACTCCTCTGTGAAGTTTGCTTCGTACCCTTTTGTGAACACTGATTTGTACTTCGAGATCCTAACACTTTCTCCGACAGCAAACTTTGGTTCTGACGGCTTGCCTAAATTGTGACTAAAAAGTGTCTTCCATACTTCAGTCCAATTGGACTCATTTACACTGTCCGGTGTTGTTTTAATTGATCTGTTCACTGAACTGTTGTAATTATCAGTTAAGTCTTGAAGGACGTCTAACCATTTATATGTACTGGCACTGTAAAAGTACTTCCACATTAGCGCTTTCAGTGTTCTGTTAAACCTTTCCACAACTGCGGCCTTTTTGTCTGAGTAAGTAGAGAAAAACTCAATGTTATGTTTATTAAGCAATGACTTTACTTCTTTGTTGTAGAACTCTGTACCCTGATCAAACTGGGCGAATTTTGGGTATTTACCAAAATGATTATTAAATTGCTCTAAAATGTTACTGACTGCGTCCTTCATTGATGTCGCGTTTTTCCTATACACTGGTACTGTGAATGCGTACCTACTTAGTATTTCAATGGATGTGAGAATCCATCGGTATCCCTTGTTCTTGTCATCATATTTTGTCATATCAACTAAATCCATTTGTAACTGTTCACCTAAAGTTTGAACGTACGTCTGTCTGAACTTATGTTTCCTAAACACTTGTCTGTACCTAGTGTATGTGTCTTGCTCGTTTATCCATTTCTTAACCTGGTTTCTGGTTACTTTAAGTCCGTCTGATACTGCTCTAAGATATAGTTTCTCTGGTGTCTGGAATCCAGTCTTAGGATTGTAGTAAATATCTCGTAGTCCTTGTTCTTTCATAATATCATCGTCCATCTTATATTAACTAATGTAAGCCATCTACTCAAGGTACATCTCAAGTAGCACTTCACCTATATCAATGGGTTTCCCGTCTTGATCTGTCATGTGGAATACAAGTTCTGAGAACGAACCCTTAATAACTGAAATCCTGCTTTCAACATCAATGTAACTAACTACCGAGCCTAATAATGGTCTGTCTGTTCGAACTGTAATAGTTGTTATAACATCGCTGGGTCTTCCCCAAGGGTTAACGTTGTAACTGCTACTAACTAGATTACAGTGTATATTTACACCTCGTAGACCGTTATTAAAGTCAACTTTGCTATCACTTGTCAAACTCCTCCCTTTCAGTAGGATCATAGGATTAAAAAATCTTTTAAAACCTAACATGGTCAGTAATCGTGTTTCTATTGTGATATCTTGTTTTACTGCATCTATCTGACAGCTTGCTGTTTCAGTAAAGTAGGTTAGCTTAACACCATGTCTTTCAAGTAACTTCTTCATACTGTCAAATGTGTAGTAACCTTTATTAACAATTACATCAGATTCTCCATCATCTGTTTTCACTTTGAGAATAGTTGTTGGTTCCCTTATGTTAAAGTACTCCCAGAATACTGATACTCTCTTCACAAAGACTGATTTATAATTGCTTGTTAGAACTGAGTTTTGTAGTGATACAACTGTGTGTGAGCTCTGCAGTAAAATTGTGAACTTCATCTTAATAACATACGTTAGGTTATTAAGAATGAGACTAGGTGGAGGACAAGTTGGTAAGTCGCCGTATCGGTCGTATCAGGACTATGAAAAAAAGTATGAAGATCATGTTAATCCTGTTGCTGGTAAAAATGCAGAGAATGCTGAGAGGGCTAGATTTATGTCAAGTTATCCTTTTGCAGATATGAGAAGATTTAAATTTGAAGCTATGACTACAAGTAGTGGTGATATTGGTGTTGTTACATGGTTTGTGGATTTAGATGGAATGACGTCTTATGACATAAGATACGATGGATTTAAGGGGGATAGCGAATACACATCATACCTCACATCAATGAAACCCAAGGTGGTGGCACCTCCCCTGAAACCAAAAAGATGGCCACATCTTTGGAATAGTAATGGCACCGTTCAAGAATATAAACCTCTTGTCTTTCCAAAGGATCCTATTTACGATGAGAGAAAGTTGGGTCTCAGTCGAGTTCTAATTCATGATGACGGCTATCATATTAATACATATCGACCTCCTGTAAATCTTCCCTACAACTTTAACAACTTTAAGATCTATGTAAATGAAAACAGTTATTTCATGTCTAACTTCCCTGATGCTGGTGTAGGTTGGGATGAAGGTCCTAATTTAACTAATAAGGATGTAAGAAAAGTTTCCTTTAATACGATATCATACACTAGAATGTTGTCTGGCGCCTACATAGCTAGCTATCTCAGCGGTGTATCCTTAGAACACGTTCGTGAAAGTAATTCCGTTCCTCAAATAATAACATCCATTATGAGGTATCATCTTTACTACACGACTAGAAAGTTAACAGTTAGTAAGGATGCTATTGATAAACTTAGTGTTAACCTTGACATTGTAAGAAAACACATTCCAATAAATCAGAATTATATTATTGACGGAAGTGGTGCTACAACTAGTGCAGGACCTTTGTCTGGTAGTGATTACCTTTCGTTCATAGCTGAAAAAAGCAATGGCTTTACTAAGTTGGGTGTTGAGCTTATCCAGGAGAGTATTGAGTCCTATGTGTACGCTATGTTAGGATCTCAAGCTAATACAAGGTGGTCAATAGAAGGAAACGGTCCAAAGGCTCTTCAAACACAACGTGACTTTAGAACTATTGTGAAGTCTACTATTTTACAAAGTAATACGGTAACAACAATTAGCAATATGAGGAAAGCTGTGAGGGACACCAATGTGATTCTAAACACTGCTTTATCCCCCGCAATAGTTCTAATCCCATCGAACTTTATTATTCTTAAAACTCCGATTCTCGGTTATAATAACCTTCTAAAGACGGCAACTAATGCAATGAAATTTGGGGTGAATCCTAAGGTAAATTATGTCGGTGTTAAGCAAGTTGATCCTCCAAAGAAACAGCATCAAAATAGCACACCAGTTCAACACCTTGATACTCTTAGTGGAAACATGAAAGTTCCGGGGAGTTCTGTAAGTGTTGCACCTCCTAAGACTATCACACCTATCGCACAGCGTAATGTGGTTAGTACCCGTGAGTCCTTAGGTGATGGTACTTTAGCTGGACTTGGTATCGGGTCTGTTGCTGTGTTTCTTATATTGAGAACTGTTCTGTGAAACATTGTGTATGTTATAAAAATGGCTCTCTATAAGGGATATATTAAAGGTGTAAATAATATTGATCTAACAACTGGTAGTGTGTTTGATAAGGATGGATTTACTATGAAGGGTGACATTGAGTTGGATGGTAATGAGGTAAAGGGTTTAGGTGCACCTACAGATGATACGTCTGCGGTCACAAAGAAGTGGGTGGATGATGAGATCGTTAAACAGGCTTCTGTTACAATTCACCCACAGGGTTTACATTGACTGGGGATATTGACATGGGAGGTAATAAGATAACTAATCTTGATAATCCTACTAATCCAGGTGACGCTGCTAGTAAGGGTTGGGTTGAAGGTAGTCGTAGGCATATACACGTAAGTTTACCCGGTCTTATCCTTACGAATGATCTTAATATGTCAACAAATGAGATAAAGGCTCTGGGTGATCCTACAACTGGAAAGTCTGCCGTTAATAAGGACTGGGTAACTAGTATGATAAATAAACCCGTGGCTGGAGATCTTGATATGAAGGATCATGAAATTAAGAATCTTAAGGATCCCTCTGAAGACCAGTCTGCTGTCACGAAAAAGTGGGCGGTTGATAATAACTTTGTTAAAAAGGGTGGAATAGTGCAAGCAGATGTGTCTATGGGAGGTTGGAGACTGTTTGATATTATTGACCCCAAACTTGATAGTGATGCTGTACCAAAAAAGTGGATTAAAGATAAAATATCTGCGCTAGATTCTACGTATGCTAAACCTACAGGATTTACAATGACGGGAACTCTCCACATGGGTGGAAATGCAATAGATGGTGTTGGGTCTTCTCTTAGTGACTCATCAGCTGTTAACTATAAATATGTAGTATCAACTTTACGAGGTGAGCGTTCTATTAGTGATGGATTGTATCTTAAAAAAAATGGCGCTGCCCTAACCGGTAACATGAACATGGGTGGATTCCAAATTTACTCTAGTGTAGCTCCTGACAGTTTAAATTCACTTGTCACAAAAAAGTGGGTCGAGGATAAGATTAGTGGCGGTAGAAGTAAGCGTGAGACTTACAGCGGTCTTACTCTATCTGATGACCTTGACATGGGAAACAACGAAATAATAAAGTTAGGTTCTCCCACAACTGATAATTCTGCTGTGTCTAAGAAGTGGGTCACTGATCATGTTAGTGGAAGTTCAATTAGTAGTAGCGGCTTCACAATGACTGGTAATATTAACATGGGTGGTTATAGTATTACGGGTCTCAAAGGTGGGTCGGTTGGGGATACCAGTGCACTTTCCGCTAATACTATATACTCCTGGTGTAAACAGTTCCTGAAGCGTAATGGTGGTACCCTAGCAAGCAATCTTGATGTTAACGACTACGAGTTAACTAGGGTAGGTGATCCTACTACGGATGGTTCTGCTGTAAATAAGAAATGGGCAACTGATGAGTTCATGAGTAGTAGAGGTGGACTGGTAAAGGGAGATTTGGATATGGGAGACTCAAGTGGTATTCTTGATCTAAGGGATCCGGTAAATGATAAGGATGCAGTTAACAAGCAATGGGTGGAAAATAATTTCCTAAAACCTTCCTCAGGTCTAACCCAGGCAACAGCTGATGTTAGATATGTAAGAAAAAATCACCATATCTATTCAGAATGGATTTGGGGATATCGTGGCGTATCAGTTGCAGCAACAAGGTACTATGCTTACTGTCAAGATCAGATTCCACCTTCATGGAGAACAGATACTATTAATAATATGACAGACCTCAACCTTGAGTCAATTACTATTAAATCAGATTACCCACTTCTTTCAACTGTTACTAACATACCCCTAGGACTCATCCTGTGGGCTACTGTATGGGAAAAGCAGTCTAATGGAAAATTTACACAAGCTAAAAAGGAAATCGTCCTTAGTACAATCGACTTAAGATGGCTATCATACACTTACTTCAACGGAACTTACACAAGTAATGGTGGAAGTACAGCTTGCTATGTCTTCAAGGGTAATAGTATGTTCTATTTAGGAAACCAGACTGAGTTGGTAGATAACACGCTAGCCTGGTGTATTATAGTTAAACCGGAACACTCAATGCCAACTGGTTCGAGTATGGACTTGTCTTTTTGCTGGTCATTGCGGTATTCAGGGTCAGGTGGATAACATGTGTTGTATCATAAAGTATCATGTCAAAGTGGCGCTCGTGCTTCTCCTGTTCGGGTAATATCTGTGGCTGTCGTAGGAGGTCTAACAAAAATGGGAAGGCTGGTGATATAAATTTCTCTGTATCCAATGATATTAAGGTGACCACACAGGGTAAAAAGGATGACACTAACAGTGTACCGGACTACAAAGGCACACCCCCTTGTGTACCCCCAAGGAGAAAATAAAAGTTGTCGAAGAGGCTTTGGAATAGGAAAATTGAACAATATTGGAAAAGTGTAGGATTGCACTTAGGATAATCGTATTAGAGTCTCAGCTGGACTGGTAAGGTGATCCCGAAGCTTTGAGATAAGTTAAATGAAAAACAAGAATAGCAGTTTCACATTCCAATTAAATGGACCATGGAACTGCTGAAGTCTCGGGAACACTCGTTGAGGTGTGGGACCATTAATTTTAATATAACAAAAATAAATAATTAATTTTTACTAAAGGTAAAAAACTAGTGGTCTAGAAAAACTAGTGGTCTAGAAAAAAAAAAATAGTGGTCTAGAACCGGCAGTTCCTATACTACTTGTGACTCCTGATCAAATACCCTCCTCAACACATGCTCTTCCTCAGGATGCAAATATCCCCACCCTCAGGAGATGGTGTCGATCAAATTCCAGAGGGTGAAGAAACAAAAATCAATCAAATGCCCCACATATGCCCAACCCTCCCACCCTGAGGCGGATGCATGTTCTAACCACATAATTCCATATCCTTTTAGAAAGCAGTAGCAACCTTAAACACACTCCAGATATCAAAAGAGTCAAGAGATCAGACAAAAGTAAAAAGACCACAACATTCTCCCTTAACACAAGCTGAAAGGTTTGCAGAAATAAGAGACTTGCCTGTAAGTTGATTCTTTCAATCATTTAGCCAAAAAATGAATCAGATTTTGATAATGGTATTGGTTACATGCACAAATTATAAAACATTAAACCAAAAGATTCAGATAGTATTAGACACAATATTTTTAAATTTCATTAAATATTTACTTACAGGTTGACCAATTGGACAAGTTGGCAGCTATCCATGTCGCAGGTACCAAGGGCAAGGTAACATTGGTTTAATTGCTCATGCAATATTAATGGACATTAATAGTAATGCAGTAAATAAGCTGTTAGTATATTGATTAGTCTCTAATTAGTAGTAGTCTAAATAACAGTTCTAATGCATCCTACCCTGATGCATCCTACTTTTATTATTCTACCTAGCTGTCTAATGGCAGACAATTTTACTCATCAATGGGAGTGGTGTTCAATGGGTTATTCAATCACCATCTGACGATAATTCGATCATTATTTTCCTTCCTGCCAAGGGTTCTGTTTGTGCATTTTGCGAAAGTATTCTGAGGAACTGTGGATATAAAACTGGATTTTACAGGTATCCTGTATTGATTGTATTGTGCTGTTTTGGTTGTATCAGTACTTGTTTATATATGTTGAATATCTTATTATCTTCACTTTACATAGTACTCTATAGCCGCTGCGTGTGAAGTGAGTAATGCTTGCAACAAACACTTTATCTCTATATACCTTAGCTCTCCACATTTGTCTGAAGTTCGAGAGAGAATACGTATCAACGGCAAGCCAATTTCGAAGGAATTATTTACCCACTATTTCTGGGACTGTTGGGCCAATTTTGAGGTTTGTGTTACATCATAATTTCTTCATTTTATTACATTTCACATAACTTTTCCCTGAATGTTGCGAACTTCATTCCGAACTTTGTTGTGAAGTTCAAAAGTTCATACTGAAATTCACAAGCTGGTTTGTAAACAAAGCCTCTGATTGGCTTATTTTTGTTCAGGGACCAATCAGAGGCTTTGTTTACAAACATGCTTGTGAATTTCAGTATGAACTTTTGAACTTCACAACAAAGTTCGGAATGAAGTTCGCAACCATTCAGGGAAAATTTATGTGAAATCAACTGTAATAGTTTTGTTTTGTTTTAGATAACAAAAAAGCGGTACGGGACGTTTCTTGTATTTATGGCTTTTCATGTGTTTTTGAAGGAAAAGGTGAATAATTTAGTATTATTGTTGTTGATGGTTCATACTTGTTGTTGTTGATGGTTCATGTTTGTTGTTGCTGTTGTCATTGTTGTTGTTGTTGTTGTTGTTGTTGATGGTTCATGGTTGTTGTTGCTGGTTCATGGTTGTTGTTGTTGTTGTTGTTGTTGTTGTTGTTGCTGTTGCTGTTGCTGTTGCTGTTGCTGTTGTTGTTGTTGTTGTTGTTGCTGTTGCTGTTGCTGTTGCTGTTGCTGTTGCTGTTGCTGTTGCTGTTGCTGTTGCTGTTGCTGTTGTTGCTGTTGCTGCTGTTATTGTTCTCCTTTTTATTGTTGTTGTTATTGCATGTTGTTGATGATGTTATGTTGCTGTCTATTAAATTTGTTGATATGTTGTCTGTTGTTGTTGTTGTATGTTGTTATTCTCAAATTGACATTATAGCCTAATGTGAACCTGCATGTGGCATACTATCAAATTTATTTCTCAGGTTGATGTTGCTGTGATTGAAGTTGGCTGCGGAGGTGAATATGACGCCACAAATGTCATCAGGTACTTTGTACATTTTTGTCTTATGGTCATTTCAGATGTTCTCAAGTTTTGTCCTATTATCATACCCTGTGGTAACTTATTGACTCTGTAGACAGCCAGTGGTTTGTGGTATTACCTTGCTTGATAAAGACCATCTGCACATTTTGGGTGGAACTGTGGAGAGTATAGCTTGGCACAAAGCTGGAATATTTAAGGTAATGCAGTTAGAACATTTTGACATAATAATTAAGGTTAATTTACTTAGCCTTAGGGAACGAATTGACAATATGTTCTTTGGAGTTTATTCCTTGTTAAGACAGTTTTTTGCTGCAATTTGCAACGAATTTTCGGATACACACAGCTGTGTATCTAAAAAGTAGTGACTCTTGAAGAATGAAAAATGAAAAATGAAAGAAATGGGATGAAAAATGTGAACCGTGACCCGTGCACAGAATTTTCCTGCTATCACAGTCAAGGGCTCTTATATAATAGATATCTATTATTTCCATGACTTTAATATGGCCTTTAAAAAGAATGATAGGTGGCTCTATAAATAATGTTTCTACTTTTGTTTTCAGGCCGGTGTTCCCGCCTTTACTGTTCCTCAGGAACCAGCGTCAATGAAAGTTCTTTCAGAGAGAGCAAGAGAACGCCAAGCATGTCTTAAGATTGTTCCTGACTTATTTGCAAATACAGAACGCAATTTTCCAGGTTGCCATTCGTACATGTCATAAATTTTGTATCTTTATACTGTCTATTAAAACTCGCTGACATTAATCACAACCGCTAATTACCATCACTATTTTGATATCAACAATTTTCCAAACACAGCTCTAGGTATTGAAGGCAAACATCAACACCAGAATGCGTCATTAGCTGTTCATCTCTGTCGAACATGGATAGAACGCAGAAATGACGGTGACTATCTTACATATTGGTCTTATGACGTTGAATGGGTTGTTTCTTAAGGTGGCTCGATATAGTTATCACAAAAACCCTGCTCAAGAATCGCGCGAACAAAACCGGGTGACCATTTTTACGCGCATGCAGGTCGCGGAAATTGATTAACGAAATGAAAGAACTTCCAAAATGACCTGACGTGAGCAGTTGCTCGCGCCATCTCACGTCATGCATTGCGCGTGTTCTATAGCGTTTTATGTCAATGGACAACTTGCATGTTAAGTTACGTTTACACGCTGCGATTTGTCGGGCCGATTTTGGTAAATAATCGTTGCCCCTTCTTCGACATTTAGCGATTTACACGTTCAATTCAAGCTGTCCGCTCTCTCGTCTGTTTATATTATAGTTTTCTGCGTGCGAAAAGTTTTCAACAATTTTACAACGGAAGAAAAATCGTTGAATCGTGAGAAAAATCTGTGTTTTGTTACAGATTTTTCTCCCGATTTTGTGAATCGCAAGGTGCTGACGCGAGTACTCACGACAGGTTATTTACATACAGCGAGCAAAATCGGCCCGACAAATAGCAGCGTGTAAACGTACCTTTAGACTAAATTTTAATCTAAGTAAAGAGAAGGGAATCAAACACCACAGCTAAAAAGAACATAATTAAATTAGTAAAATTGCAAAATTTGGTTGCGAAATGTTGTAAAGCTTGGAAAATATATAGTCTTGCAAAGTTTGCAAATTTTGTATATGTTTGTAGTACGTGCGGAAATTGTTACCATTTTCGGCTCAAAAATAAATTTTAAAATGCGTAGTTTGAACATGTCAAAGTGTTGCACACCTGAATTTTTGAAAAGTATATCGAGCCACCTTAAATCCTATTCAAAATGTATCTGATCAGTGCAGGTCTTTTCTTCTTACTGTTAAACTGAACTAATACCATTTCAGCGCACAATGTTGTACTGCATGAAGTCAATTCTAGTAGTGACAGTCAATCGCCGCCTTACGCTGATGCATTCTCACTGCCTGAAGGCTTCAAAGAAGGTATGGTATTGTATTTATTATGGAAAGTGTTCTTTAACTGAGCGATGGAAAGCGAACCACAACTTCGATCTTGCCACGTTCATATCTGTTTTTTCGATGTAGGTCTTGCAAAAGCATTCTGGCCTGGCAGAACTCAGTGTGTTGAGAGAGAAGATTTCACATTTTATCTTGACGGAGCCCACACGAGGAAGAGCATTGAGGTAGTATTACCATTGTGTAGTAATCGTCTGTCATATAACTAAAAGGACACTATTTGAACAAAATTTACTTAATTCGTGGAGTTTATTACTTTAACATGCCTTTCTTCATCGTTCAGGCGTGTACAGAATGGTTTTGTGAAAAGTCAAAACAAGAAAGACAGAGGAAAAGGTTTACAAGAAATGAAGATTCACTTGCAGATTGTTATTATGTAACATATGAATGATCGAGAATATCTTACTTTATTTAGTCATAAGACAATGGCCAGAATCTTATTGTTCAATTTCAAAGGTGATAGGAACGCCAGGTCATTGCTAGAACCTTTAGTGGTAAGATTATTTTGAATGGTTTTGAGGTTGTTTTAAAGACGTTGTTTCAATAACTTGTGTTATATGTTTAGAAATGTGATTTTGATTACGTCGCGTTTTGTCCGAACTTGCTGAAGGACGAACCACAATCAACAACATCAGGTTAGTAGTCGAGTAATTTTATAAAGAATCGTCAGTTCCGGGCTAGCCTTGCCTCTATTTTCTCTGCAATGTCTACCACCCACATCTTCTGATCTCTTCATTCCATAATGTAACCAGCTTTTCATTGTGTCCATACAATCTCAGCCTTGCTTCTCTCACCTTCTCTGCATTGTCTACCACCACACATCTTCATTTCATAATGTGACCAACTCTCCTTCATATCTTTTTACGTGTCCATATCATCTCAACCTTGTTTCTCTCACCTTCTCTGCATTGTCTATACCACCACCCATCTTCTGATCTCTTCATTTCATAAGGTGACCAACTCTCTTCATCTCTTTTTACGTATTCATATAATCTCAGCCTTGCTTCTCTCACCTTCTCTGCATTATCTATTCCACCACACATCTTCTCATTGATATTATAAAATATTTATTATTGTCAGCTTTCTACACCATATATACAATTAAAATAATACTAAAAAGGCGATTTCAAACAAGTTTCGTCCTTCGGACCTTTTCAATAAATCGCCATATTGTAAATAGATAAAAACGAATAAAAACTTCATGTAGCACAAATATAGTCAATCTTCTGTTCAAAAAGGGTAAAACTTCATGTAGTCATATAATTACTCTACTGTTACAATAGCACGGGGAACTTTCACATAGTTCCACTCATTCTTCGTGTTTATTAATTCGTTGTGCTTTACTTTGCCAATAAGTACTGCTTCCGTGATTTGTCTCAGCATCGCATCATCACGGAAAATACCAGTAACATTCATAACAAAGGATGGTATATCACCTCCATGTTTTTCTCAAGCGTGTCTCCACACCACATAACAGATTGTTCTTCACGGCGGTTCAATGAATGTAAATGTTCTTTACCACGGCTATTGCACTTCTTGAAGTTTCTCCTATATATTTATCTTTACACTCTTGGCAAACTAATTCGTAGGTGACTCCTGTTGCATTACATTCTCCTTTTCCCCCACTCTGACAGATCAGACATTCTTGTCTTTGACACAGTTTTTCTTTGAAAGGGTTTGACCATTGTAACTGTCGCTTGAGGGTTACACCTGATTGTTTGACAATCTTAATGTTGAGTCCAATACGTCTAACTTCTCTTTCGTATCGTTGTTTAAGGATCGATTTTGGTGTTGCTGGTACAAAAATAACGCTTTCGTATCCTCCTTTCTTATACCAGGTATCTCGTTTCTTTCGTTTTTCTTGAGCTCGGTCTACTCGTCGCCATTGTCTGGGTCTATACATAGGTTTCTCACCACATGCATCTAGTCTCCGGATGTTATCATATGCTTTTAAAGCAGAGTTTACTACCTTCATTCGAAATTTCGCATTATAGCCAGAAAATTGTAGACGCATCATCATATGGTTCACATGGCCAACAACCACCTCCCATGATAACTCTGTGCTACAATTTAGCAGGATTCTCAACACCTCTTGTGTAAGTATTGTTCTCTTACTACTCCACGACCACGCTGATCTTGCATTAACGACAGATTTGGATGCTACTTCCTTGGAGTAAAACTCATGTAATACAATCTTTTCCTTCAGTTGCCCTTCAATTTCCTCTCTCTCCTCTATCCAAACCTTTAAATCAAGTATGGGAAGTTTGTGGTCATCATGGCGCGACGGACAATCAATCTCCATCTCAATAGATGTATGGATGCTGTCTGCAACGGATTTGAACAAACGCATCGCTCTTTCATCCGGCTCTATCAACCTATCCTCTTCGGCAGCAACTTCATCTTCGACCAGATTACTACCATCAAATCTCAACCCCATTTTGGGAACACTCATGATAGAATTTATATTGTCCACATAACGTTTGTACAACCATAACCTCAGTCCAATCTCTTTCATCTTGTGTTCAAACTCTCTATCCCACCATACCATGAATAATTGTGCAAGGACTCCAGTTAGTTGGAGACCAATGGGGCCACCCCTGGACTGCAGCTTTATCTCGTTGTCAAAGGTATACATGTGGTTCTCCATGATAAATAAGAGGGTTACTTTCATAGCTATAGTAAACATTCTACGGGTTGTTTGCTCGTCAGGTTCTTCCTTTGGTGGTAGCCATGGTCCAAACCTTTTACCTTGTTATCTATTGCACATCCTGTAATAGTTGGTGGCCTACCTCTATTCGTCTTACGTGTCGGACAAAAACACAGTATGTCAAGGTCAGCCAATTCAGCCTCAGTTTTGTTCAATGCCAAATACAGTCCTAGTTCTTCAGTATCTATACCAATTACTTTTACACTACTAGAGTAGAAAATCTCACATACTTTTTCGACTGTAAAAGTCACGTCCAAACTCGGGTACAATGCCTTCACATCCGCTGATCCTACAATAATATCTTCTTTAATATGATCAACATTGAATCGTTTAAAATCTGCTAACATCTCTTCAGTGTTCATACAGACGCTCTCGGCTTCTTTCCAAACTTCATTCAAGATAAAACTCATCAGATACGACAATTTTCTGTTATATGCCGAAACAGCTCCACATATTGGTCGAACAGGAGGACCGTTCACCGGGTTGACAATGTGTTTATGATCTTTCCTGAGCGCGTACAGGGGAGGGAGTATACAATCTTGGACGAGCATATTGCCCTTTATTCTTGCTTGTCCCCCCAACTCTTCGCCTGTTCTTAGTATCCTCACCCAAAACGTTGAATGTGCATTCGCCTGTTTTTGAACTTTATCGTGAAAGTCCTGGTCGACGGTAGGATCATTTTCTGTATGCGTTTGGCATGCCTGACGATAGTTATGTATTGCATCGACCGAAAACCTTCCAGATTTGTCTGTCTGATACACTACAATTCCATCCTGTATTCCATCATTTGATCTCTTCATTTCATAACGTGACCAACTCTCTTCATCTCTTACGTGTTCATATCATCTCAGCCTTGTTTCTCTCATCTTCTCTGCATTATCTATACAACCACACATCTTCTGATCTCTTCATTTCATAACGTGACCAACTCTCTTCATCTCTTTTTACGTGTTCATATCATCTCAGCCTTGTTTCTCCCACCTTCTCTGCATTGTCTATACCACCACACATCTTCTAATCTCTTCATTTCATAATGTGACCAACTCTCTTCATCTCTTTTTACGTGTTCATATCATCTCAGCCTTGTTTCTCCCACCTTCTCTGCATTGTCTATACCACCACACATCTTCTGATCTTTTCATTTCATAACGTGACCAACTCTCTTCATCTCTTTTTACGTATTCGTATCATTTCAGCCTTGCTTCTCTCACCTTCTCTGCATTGTCTATACCTGCACACATCTTCTGATCTTTTCATTTCATAACGTGACCAACTCTCTTCATCTCTTTTTACGTATTCGTATCATTTCAGCCTTGCTTCTCTCACCTTCTCTGCATTGTCTATACCTGCACACATCTTCTGATCTTTTCATTTCATAACGTGACCAACTCTCTTCATCTCTTTTTACGTGCTCATAACAGGTGGGAAATTTGTCTGAGCATGCGCGAGCAAAATGAGCCACGCAATTACGTGGAATACACGCAACGCGTGTTTACAAAAAGGCACAATCGTGTAAATATTGCCAAATGTTTGTACAAAATAAATGACTGTTTTATGTTGAAAATGGACATGATCTAAATTAATAATACAGAATTTTTTAGTGAAGTTCTATTTCAGTGGCCTGCCATTGTTTCTCGTGGGCTGTCCGTGTGCATTCGATCTGAAACAGTTGCTACTTTGCTGTCGAAAAATTTCGAATGTTTACATGAAAATAGAGGCAAGTCATGCATTTTACAACCCCGTAAACTGTATGAGCCCCTATTATTACGCTTATACCTAAGATATCAAATAAAAATACATGAAACAGAAAACATTTTTAGAAAGTTTTATCGTGAGGCCACAGCCAGTTAAATATCTTTATTTCTGTTCCGGTCATCACGAAAATTACACTAAAGCCGGACTTAAATATACAACCAATTTTGAATCTCATCAAGTACAAAAATATTTAACGTGTAACCAAAATATGCTCATGAAATCGAAATTAATAGCTAAATTTTCGAATTAGACCCTTCTCGAAGCAGTTTTCATGAAGGAAGTTCACATTTTGGCCTTTGATTCTTGGCAAAAATTTGACCACAACACGGGGGAAGCAACTGGGTCTCAAAGACGCAGCTAAAACATTGTGAGCCCCTATTTTCCTGACGATTTGTTTGATACCTACAAGCGCCGAAAAGTTTTTTCTTTTCATTTAGTTATATTTGAAATTGAGGCCACGGGCCATTTTTGAGAAAATACAGTTCAAAGTCAAGCTATTTTTACATA